TATTGCTAATAGTAACATAAAAATAGATAGATTATATTGTTACAAGATGCTTTTTGGTGTGGAGGCGGGGAAAAGGAAGTTAGTGTACTTTTGATATTCAAAAAGAAAAACAAAGTAAACTAGCAAACCATCAAATGTACAAATTTTCTCCACCATGCTTAAAACATAGTTGATATATAAAGAAAGGTTTAAAAAAAAAAAAAAAAAAAAAAAAAAAAACACGCACTTATTTTTCTGACTTACACCACTCGTCAGTGTCAATATATATATATATATATATATATATATATATAAGGTAACATCAATCAGCTAAGTGACAAGCCTTTTACTTGTGTATGTGTATATTTATATATATAAATATATATGCTTCATTAAAGACCAACAAGCTACTGCAGTTAAACTTTTATTTAATTTTTATTGTGTTCATATAAGTGTTTTCTTTTCTGGATATAAAGTGTGTAAAAACTGTCCAAATGTTCTATATATTTGAATGCTTTCAGCTATTCTATTAGTCATTATCAAGGATTTTTTTTTTTAACTGAATATGTAGATTTTTATATGTGTATCTATATTGATGGGAATGTTTTTTTTTTATTTTCCAAACATGATCAGCACACTGTGGCCATGTTTATAGTTGATATTATTGAGTGTTGGCTTATCTTTGATAACGACTAATAGAATAGCCAGAAGCAATCAAATATAGAACATTTGGACAGTTTTTACATACTTTATAGCCAGAAAAGAAAACACTTATGTGAACAAAGAAAAATTGATTAAAAAACTTAATCACAGTACCTTGTCAGTTGTCTTTGATGAAACTTGTATAAAAGGGGGATTTCTGCCCAAATACACAATTTATACAAAAACTGTCTAATGCTTTGATACTTTAACAAACTGGAGTCATTTTCCAAATGCCCAGTTTACAAAACAGCTTAGAAATTGTTAAATGAAATTTTTAATTTAATTTAAAAAAAAAAAAAAAAAAAAAAAGAATTATTAATGAGAAAAAGAAACAGATTTTTATGAAAATTTCTCTTTGCAGTGTTAATTGAAATACACAAACATATTGAAGAAAAATTAAAACATATTCTAATAAAAAAATAAGCCTTAGTTAATTTCTATATTAAAGAAAAATGTAACAGATAAAACATATACAATAAATTTTTTCAAAAATGATTTTTGTTATATTTCCGTCAGGTTTACAATGTTTTTTTTTTTTTTTTTTTTAACTAAAATACTTATGAGCAAATACAAATAAAAATAAGCTTGATAGTTAAGAGAAGGCCTGGAGAATTTAACACTCACAAGATATTGAAAGTAGCAGGAATTTGTATGAATGGATAACAGAATAGGGACAAAGGTGTAGTACTGGGATAAAAATTACTTAGAGCAACAATAGATAGGAAACTTTGGGGAGGATTGCCCATATTCTGATAGGATTTGGTAAAAAAAAAAAAAAAATTAGTAGTTTAAAAGATTAATCTGCCAGAAATATATCAAGTATGGTTGTCCTAAATTTGTGCCTGAATTGAAAAACATATCCAAAGTTTATCTATTATAAATTTATGTGGCAAAATATATATTAGGCACTTCTAATATGAGGGTGAGAAAGGTTTTTTTTTTTTTTTTAAAGAGTTTGAGCTTTCTTAGATTTTTCTATCAAACAAAATAATTCACTACAAAAAAAAAAAAAAAAAAATTATATATATATATATATATATTCAGAAGTTAAAAAAAAAAAAAAAAAAATCAATATAGAGTTTTGTATACAAAAAGAATTCAACTCCAAAAAATCAAAACAAAAAATGATGAAAAATTATAAACATATGTCTATTTTTATATAAAAAATGTTTATTTCTCTGAAAAGTATAAAAATTACAAAGGTAGGATGGCTTACTCATTTTTACCAAAAGTAAAACAAAGTTAGAAAATTAAAATCTTTTTCTTTTGGACATTTTCTTTTTAAATAAATCAACATTGCAAAATTTTCATATAGAGTCAGCAAAGTTGTCAATAAAAGTTCATTTATACATTTCTGAAACATTTTCCTGAAAGTTGGACTGAATTTGCCAAGAAATATAGACATGGAGAGAAAAAAAAATCAGATTTAGTTTGCCACAAGTGAATTTCTGACAAAAAAAAAATAAAATATATCAAATATTCAATTTTTTTTTTTTTCAGAGAGAAAAATCAAGAAATTATGGGAGGTTTTCTTCCAGTTTAAATTCTATTAACTTCTGAATTCAAAAGTAAATTTTGGTCATAAAGGCACATTCTAAATTTGGTTAGATGTATACATTAAAAAAAATAAAAGTGAAATCATCACAGAAATATAGAAATGGAATATCAAGATTTTTATGCCAAATTCTTTTGAATTTTAATATTCAAGAAAATTTACATTTGGGGAAGCTGAAATTTCTATAAAATACATTTGCCAAAAATTAAATTTCAGAAGAAAATAGTACAAAGGTAAAAAATTACCAAGGATCTTTTAAACTAAGTACCCACACTTTGTTTTAGCAGATATTTACTTAATTATTGCATTTGTCTTTTTTATTTTTTTTAATAAAGGTATGTTGCCATCAAAAATCATTGATGCAACTATTTTAATAATTTGAAATGCCCAAGTGTAATATTTTTTTAAAAGATAGCAAAAAAAATAATTTGCTAAGTACAAAATTTATGTCTAACAGAATTTTACTTTGCAGTTTTTCATTATATATATAAGTTTAATATATTTATGATTGAAATTTTAATTAAGATAAAATTAAGATGACAATAACTCAATTTTTACAGTATAGCGAAATAAGTAAAAATGGTGGCAAGAAATAGATTTATCAAATTTTAATCATTTGTTTAAATAAAACATTGAAGTCAAGCCAATTAAGTGCAATTTTTTTCAATAATGTATAAACTGGAAATAATTGTCATGAAATAATTTAAAAAAAGAAATCCAATTGACTGAAAAAAATAAAAACTAATTTCACGAAATGTATAAACAAATCAATGAAATTATTTAATAAAGTGAAAGCATTTAAGAAAATGTTTTGTTGACTAGGAAGAGCAAGACTAATTTACTGTTTTCAACATTGATGGACTTAAAAAAACAAAAGGACGAAATATAGAAAACAAGTTTGCCAAGTTAAAAGGCACAATTTCTCAGCAGTTCAGAATACATACAAATAACTTTGTTATGAGTGCTTTTAAAAATAAAATGTTAAAAGGTGATAAGTAATGTACAATAGTATTTTAAATGACAGGACAATAAGTTAGATGCTAGTTTGTCGGTGCACAGGTATTAAATATAATGGTGGTGGGGAGGGGAATAAACACTTAAAATCAAAGAAAAATAAAATTGTTTTGAGTATAGCATTTGCCACTAAAAAAAAAAAAAAAAAAATGTCAGGTTTTAATGTAAAAACTTAATTAAAAAAAAAAAAAAAAGGTTGACTGGCAAATTTAAAAAACAAAAAAAAAATTGTTTAATCAAACCAGCTGTTTAGCACACATGATGTTAGTCTACAATTCAGTAATTGATAGATAATACCTAAAACCACCGATTTACGCAACAATAAAATTATATACATTGATGCCATTTGATAGCTACACATCAATAATTATTTTTTCTGGTGATATATAAATAATTTAGATATCAACAGGGAAAATACACACGTAAAATGGTAAGTAGCAGAGTAATCATACAGAAAATATACATAAGTAATTGCTCGAAAATGAACATGTCAAAAATCAAGATCACTTTTTTTTTTACCTGTGATTAACACTATGATTTCTTATAAAGAGAAAAATTTGCTTCACAACCGTGAATCATCCATCTTTTTTGTTTTTGCAACTCAAAATAAGTTAAAAAAAAAAAAAAATAAAAATAAAAATTAAAAAAACTGGAAGAGATGAATTGCATTTGTAAATATTTTGTTGATTGTCACTAAAACAAAAATAAATGGAAAATGAATAAAACTTTAAATAAATAGACAAATAAATTTTGATGTATGATCAAAACATTTTTCTCTTTCTAAAAACAAACAGTTGGAAGTTCCTAAAGCCTGACTTGAATAAAATATTTCAAATTTACTTGAAATGAAACGGTGGCAAATTGAAAATATATGACGACCCACAATATGTTCAAGAGAAATCAGAAAGTGGTTATATGAGTCGGGTATTTTTTAAATAGCGAATTAATGTTTTGTATACAAAACTGTATTGTCCAAGTGTCTGAACCATATACATTCGTTGTTGTCGGAGATGGGCTAAAACTCTGGGAATATCCACATTAAGGTTATGTTCCAAGCAAGATTTCATAATTGTAGATAATAGCACCACACCTGTTCGACCAACACCAGCACTGCAATGAACAACAACTGGGGATTTTTTGCCACTGCCTTCTTCACTCTCTGCCAACCGATGAACAGATTCAACTTCATCCAAGAAACCAAGAAATCCATAAATGTCCTCTGGACAGCCATGGTCAGGCCAGTCTGTATATTGCATATGCCATACCTGACGCTCTTCCTTAGAAGTTTTGTTTCGTATTGAAATTTGACTAGTAATATAACACCAATTGCCATTGCTGAATTGTAACTCGATTTCATACTGGCCTAACTGTATTTTATTTTCAGAACCAGAATCTTGTGGCCAGTAAGGGAAGCATTTTGGACGGTCTTGTTCATCGAGTGCAGTCAGCATTGCAATAACATCAACCTCCTGTTCCCAGATCATTTGCCAGAAGTCATGAGCTGTATTTCTCAAAGGTGCCTGGGTAGCAAGAAACCACCACTGTTGTTTACCAAGATTAACTTTTATATGCGAGGCATTTATATATCCAGAAGGATTATTTTTGCTAGAGGAAAGTTTTACACGAGTTTCATCATAAGGCAAAACATCTTGAAAACGATTCCGTTCCTTATTTTCTGGACATTTCCCAACATTGCAATCCATGTTGGAAGCCTTTTTACCAATTTGCTCAAATTCTGCAAAAACGCAACCTTCTACAAGTTTGCTCTCAAGTAATCTCCGTCTTTCATCTTTAGGAGCACGAGATTCGTCTTCACTTGCAGACAATATGATAGGGCGAGACAGAGTTAACCCATTCATGGCTGCCATTTTTAAAGGCCCCATGCTTCGACGCTTCATGATGTAGGCATCTTCTTCATCTACCAGGTCTTCATCAAACTGAACGTGATCATCTTCAAAAGCAACACTGCTTGAAGTTGTATTTGACTTCACCTGACCAGCAGGCTCTGTCGAATTTGACGATGATTCAGCTTCACTTCCAGATGTCAAACTATGTTCTCGACAAAAGGAAGAATCAGAAGAGTTAGTTTTTGTTTCTATATTACCATTCTCTTCATCGCTAGCATCTTCTAGGATGTGATTTGCAGTTTGGTTTTTTGCTTTCGTCTTCAATCTGTCAAGACAGCCTGGATTAGAACGGGCTATCATCATTCTTCGAAAACTTTCTCTGAGAGTAGCAACTTCCTTTGATTTCGAAGGTGGTGGAGCAGCATCCGGGGCAACATAACGAACAACAACATTGTTCTTTTCAACTTCACTTGGAAAAGGATTGTCTTCCAGGTCTTTTTCTGAATCTTTCAGACTGTAACTTGTGTTATTAGACACAGAACTACATTGACTCTCCTGGTCTGAAAGGTTCACTTCATTGACAGCTGCTGCTAAGTTCTCCATACTTTTGTCAAGTTTTGACTGGACAGCAAAGGGAACATGACCAATGTTTTTTCGAGAAACAAGGTCTGGGCTGTAATTGATGTTAAGCTGATTGGTCTGAGCAGCAAGATCTGGGGTGCTGCTGCTGACTCTTGGATAAGGAGGCGGTGGTTTACAAAAGACATTATCTTGCATGTAATCTTCAGACCTGGAATCTGGCCCAGGCATTCCCTGGATAGTAGTATTAAGTTCAGGAGAGCTGTGAGTAGGCTGTAATACTAGATTAGTATACCAGGCATTCTGATGACACTGCATATTACTGGTATCCTGTTGATGCACAACATTAGCATATTGTGGCGTTTCAGCAGTATAATTATCCAAGTTGGCAATCATATGGTGGGGGACAAGAACTGTTGTAGCTGGAACAGAGTATACTGATTGCTGAAGTGAAGTTTGTGTCGCATTCATCTGAATTGAATGATCCATTCGATTACGCATCACTTCATTGTAATCTGGACTAGGACGGTAAGCAGGGAGCAGGGCTTGTCGATGTTCATAGGTGAGGTCTGGTTGCTGCATCTGCATTGCATTAGCTGCAGGACCAGACATTTGTGCAACAAATGGAAGGTTGTTGTTGGATGGTACCTGGTTTGGATCACCACAGGGATTCATACAATGGTGAGCAACAATGTCAGGTGTCAAATTATCCAGGTTTCCATGTGCTTGAACAGGACATTCATCAAGATGAATAGGAGGATGACCATCCAGCATATATTTTTGATTGTGTGAATATGGTACTGTGTTTGGATCCATAGGGTCAACAGGTTCATATTGATAATTAGATACAACTTGGTAATCTTGAACTGAACTACTGACTGAGCTCATATCGCTAAGATCAGTGAGGCTTGAGCTTGGATTCAGTTTATAAGACTTGTAAAATTTTTTTAAAAATCCTGCAGTTTGTTGAAAGTACTTGGCCATTTCGGTATCATCTAAATAATATTGAATTGAAGTTTTTTGTGTGTCTATAACCACAGATTTTTTGTTTTGACCAATGTGTGCAATGACTGACCATCTAAAAGATAAAGCCTGCTGACGATTAAGGTAACGTGCAAAAATTCCGGAACAAGAAGTCCCAAGATATAGTTCCTTACCAGAATCGTCCTTGGCAGCGTAATATTCCATACCGTATCCATCGAACATTTGGACGTGTTTTATATAGTAAACAACAGCTATAAACGGTGGCAACCCGGCCAAATTTTGGTAACACTGAACAACTTCTTTGAGAAGTTCAATCATAGTATTTTCATCCTTTGTCATACTTTTTGGTAGAATCTGTAATTCTTTTAGATAATCCAATGAGTGTTGTTCTGGGTCGTACTGGCCCAGGTCTACCTGAAGATACAAAGCAGCCAGCCTTACAGCTTGTTCTGTAGAACAGGAAATTCGGTTGTCCATCACATCAGATTTTAATTGTAAAAAGTAATTATAACGAACCCTGTTGTCTTCGATCTTGTGGGCCCCATTGACGTAGAACATAACACCGAAATACAAACGAGGAAACTGTGCATGTTTATCCAGCTGCTTCTTAAGTGGTTTATCCAAATTTATCCATCGGAACTGTAATTTTTTCGTAACATAACGAAAACCGAAATACTGAGTATCTTCCAACTTCATCATGTGTGCAATACATTCTAAACAATCGTGTCCAGTACTGTCCGCCTTTAATGAACATTCCAAGAAAGAATTGTCCAGCATGTGTACCCCAACAACAAACTCATACTTCGACGACACTTCGTAACGCTTTGTACGTTTTAGCTTAAAGTTAAAAGGCATTTTTGATTCGATTTCTTTTTAAGCTGTGTTAGATTTCCTGACTTGGTTTAAACAGCTATTATTAGTAAATTCTTCATCTCATTGTTAGTGCAACACAAAATAGCAAACGAATGGCTGTCCAGCACGGGACACTTGACGACTGCAAACTGGTCCCCAATTGTCGACCTCCATCTTTGTGTTGACACTATATTTCCGATAAATCCCGAAAATAGCCGAAAAAAATGGCACGCAACCCTCGAGGCTTGGTTGGGTATAAGGTGCGCCAATGTTGATGCCCACTCGTTTTTTTTAATTTTCAGTTCGCGGCTACTACACCCTCACTGTTTATATTAGGAGTTGTAATAGTAATACTGCTAGAAGTGGTTGGTTGTAGTTTCTCTGCTGACACAAGCAGGGCGAGAGAGAGAGAGAGTGGGGGGGGGAATACTTGCCCGAACTCAGACATTCCAGCTGCAGTTCACTTCCTCATTTCGTCACTTCCGGTCCGTTTATATCTAAACAAGCTTTTCTTTTCTTTTTTTTTTTTAATCTGTTCCCTATTTTTATAACAGGGTTTTTAAAACCTTTTTAAAAATCTTATTAAAAAGGTGAAAAATAGTTCGGAGTTTAGATTGTAAAATAACTCTTCTTCTTTAATGTTCACTTACGAAAGAGAAGAAAATATGTTGTACGTCAACCACTACCAGTAGCAACAGAGTATTCACCCTCCCTACCACAACACTTTTTTTTATTTATTTTAGAAGTGGTAAAAATAGAGTTGGATAAGAAAGGGAGATTGGAAGTGCCGACTAAAATGCTGTGTTGGTTGAATTTTGAATTCATCCCCAAATTAGTTTAATAAGGAGTAAGAACACCGATTTCAAAACAAAATACAGACAGATTTTTTTTTCTTTGTTACAAAAAAAGAAAGTGTGACCCATGAATATGCCGCGTAAAGATTTCTGTTTTATTATTATTATTATTTAATAACTCGTTTGGGACAAATAAAAAAAATAAAAAAATAATTTTTTTTTTTTTTTTTTTTGTCCAGAGACAAACACAGCTAAAAAAATATATCCTTCTTAGAGTGGCTTAGTACGTATCAATAAAAAAAAAAATAAGGTGCCTTTTTTTCTTAAATGAATCATGGCTGAGTTTAAAAAAAACTAAAAAAAAAAAAAAAAACAACTCAACAGTTATCTCAACTTTCAAAAAATTTTAAAAAAATCAAGTGTGGGAGTTTTTACTTCTTAAATTCGATATTATTCGTCAGGACGTGGGTGTCAGCAACAAAAACCATAGACTATGTGTGTAGGTTAGGTGATGTCATAGATATTTTTTTTTTTTTAGCAAACAATTTAAAAACTTAATCCTTTTTTTTTCTTACTATGTATGTTTTTATATTGTAATCAGTAAAAAATGTCACTAAATGGGGGGGGGACAGAAAAATTTAAGAAATTAAAATTGTAAAACCTAAAAAAATCATTAGTTACATTTTTTTAACATGTACAGTACAGGACATTAATAATAGTTATCATTTTCTATTATTATTATTTCAAGTAACAAAATAATTTTCAAAGCAGTAGTTGATACATCACATCATTCATTATCCTATCTTTTTAAAAATAGACTGCAAATTTGTGGTTATTACCTTTGCAATAAAACAAACAATTTATAAATAGTAGGTTCGTTCATTTCACACTTAAAATCTGTATTTCATTCATAAAATTTAAATTTGGTAATATTCAATTTTTGGCTTCTTCAGGTTAAAACTTAATTTCTATTTGGTTGCTCAGTTGTCTAAAAGAAGACAATACTTTAATTTCAAAGCGAAAAGTAAAGATTTCTTACATGTATAAAGATTTTAAACAAATAACTACATTAAATTCACATTATCAAATTGCTAAGATAATCAATTTTTGAAGTTTGAAAATCTGATGATCAAATCATAAAATTTGGTTTAAGGATAAATGTATAATCTGAATGTGAAATTTCCCACACTGCCTTGAAGACCAATTGGGAATTTTCCACAAGTATTCAATTGTTTTTTAGGCATTTTTTTTAATATGTTTCATAAGTTAAAAACTTTAGAAATAATCTCTTTGAATTAATCAAATTCAGATTATAAAACAACTGAAAATTTTGTCACTCTAAAACTTCACAATGAAATAATATTAAAAACCAACCATGATGTAACTAATTTATTTTCCCTGTGTATAAATAGTAGTTCTGATTGTGCTTTCAAATTTAAATAATAACTCAGTGGAAACTTCAGTTAGCAATGACTCTCTATTTTGTTACATAGGAGTTGGTAATATTTGAAAATTCACTTAAAGAGTTCAGAAAGAAAGTTCAATGCAGATTTGTTGAAATCTAACTCAAGCAGATTTTGATACCTAATTCATTAGAATTGTCTATTTTAGTTATTTTTGTAATTTGGACCCTGTCAAGACTACCAATGAGAGTAACAGTTTTCACTGTTATTGCCTGAGCAAAGCTAACTAATTATGTGCATTCACTCAAATCTTCATCCATCACTAATTGTATATCAATGACATGGTATAGATATTCGGAAACAGGATACAGTGAAGGGGGAATGGTGCAAAGTGAACACAAAGGTTAATGGTGCAAAGTGAACACAAATTGTCTTAAACTTGATTTGACAATTCTATTTTCCAGGTTGATGATTGTTACACTGGATATACCTTCCTGTATTACATAACTTATCAAATGTGCAAGTAAAATAATAAAGTTAACTAGAAAGATATGCACATCTTGAAATCCAGGATTTAATTCATGAAAAATATAAAAGTAACACTATAAAAATACAGGTTGGTCTGAAAGTCTTGTCACCCCTACATAATATAATTTTCTATTTCAGGTAGCTGTCAGGAAAATGATGGTGTTCATACAGACCTACTCAATGTGTGACAGAGTCAATGAAAGTGAATAAACTGAATCCAGTACATGTACTTTGTATTACTTGTTCTTCTATTGGTCTTATTATTTTTTGGTGACAAGACATTTGGACCATCCTGTACATTAATTAACAAAAAAAAAAATGTGTAATTAATGTTTATGAAAAAAATGATGGCAAGTTATCCTGCTTGTTCTAAAAGCAGTTAAGGGGACAATCAATCTGCATTTCTCTTCTGTATCATAATCACTTCAATTACACACAAAACAGAATTCACTAGCAAATCCAGCTTTTCAACTGGCAGTCATCGTCTTTCAAACCTTAGATATGCTGATGGTATCACTACTGTGGATGATTCGAGCCAAGAATGCAGAAATTTATCAAAACATTTCCCAAAAATGCGGAGGAAGTCAGTTTGATTATAAATATATCTAAAACAAAGTATATGGTCACTAATAAAGATAATGCCCCTTTTCAACATAACATTTTATGCAAAACCAATTCAACAAGTAACTGAATTTGTCTATCCTGGCCACAAACTTTCATCTTCAAATTAAGAGTTAATTTTCTGTTTAACATGGAATAGGTCTTGGTTGGACAGCATTTGAACAGAATAAATTCCTCTGGACATACTTCATATTCCCTAATAAATCAAAACTAAGACTTACTCCCTGCTTACTGCCTTACAGCCTGGATTGTGTAAACTGGACCACATCACTTTAAAAAGTGAAAATATTCCAGAATCAAATCATGTGACTCATGACCAACAATCATCTAACAGATTAAGGATACAAACACTTCTGGACATAACTAGTCTGACTCCAATCTTCCCCTTAGTAAAAAGGAAAACCCTTAAGTTATGTGGTCACATCAAACAAAGCAAAAATGGCTTATCAAAAATATACATTGAAGAGATGGTTGCTAGAAAATGAAGCAAAAAGGTGGCTTTACAACAGAACCAAATGGATCTTGGATTCTTAAACTAAGCAACCCAGGACCATGAACTCTGCTGGGAGTTGAGTCACATGAGGGCATATTCTGCTATAGATGGAGAGAATATCCTATGATGATGATAGGATGCTGCTTATTTAGCTACAAAATTTGCTTTTTCAAATACTGTTTTGTTAAATTTGATATTTTAAACATATCACCTTCATAATTCGTAAATATTATATGACAAGTTGGTTCCTAATGTTTTAATAATATTCTTTTTGCTTTATTTTGTTTACTAAGTACTGTGTGTATATGTATTACAATCTTAAGTTGTCTTAAGAATATTTAGATCTGTCCTAAAAAAGCTAAGCAGATATATTTCTGAAGTAAATGACTGAAAGTAATTAGTTTTGGGAATTCCAGATATTTTTTTTTTTTTTTTACTAATGTTCACCTAATACAAGCCCCCGGGCCACTCAAGGTAGATGGTTAATGTGTGGAGTTGTATTAGCATAAAAAAAGCACAAAATAACAGGAAAGATAGATGGCTAATTCTATACCTGAAGAGGTCAAGATTTAATTAGTGAATAAAATTTCAGAGTTCAGTCTGAGACGTTAAAAGTATAGAGTTGAAGTAGACTTTAGAAGGAACTGGAAACTCAATGCTAAACAGAAAACAAGGGATGAACCTCTATTCCTGTTCAAAAGATGAGGTAGGAGTGTGATTTTTTTTAGACATGGATGTGCATTTAGACAAAACATAATATTTGAGTATCTTCCTTGTTTTATGAAAATACTGAATTAATATAATTTGCTTCTTTATCATATTCTTTGATGGCAAATAAAAATATATATTTCTGGATAAATAAAAAAAAAAACATATTTCTGTTAGAAATGATAAGATGAAAATACCAGAAAGTACATGAATACTTTGTAAATAACATCAACTTTCAGTAATAAACATTCATTTAAATCTATATTTCTGAGATGAGGTATTGTAACTATTTACACTATTTACAAAATTCGGACTGATGTCCTCATTTTTATTGCCATATTCACTATGTTCGGCCATTGTATGCTCTGGCCTTCTTCAGGTGATATATGTTGGAACCTACCCCCAGTGAACTAAATAAGGGGATCGGTCTGAAATTCCAATGTATATCACCTAGAGAAGGCCAGGGTACACAACAGCTGAAACATTGTGAATATGGCAATAAAGATGAAGACAACAGTAAATTGTGTAAATAATTATTCATTTAAATGTATCATTTAAAAAAAGAGAAATGCTTATGTTATGAAATTATGCTTATGTTATGACTATCCTGTCATTAGTTTTATATTTCTTTTGTAAAAACAAAAATGGCTTTGTTTTTGCTTACTAAAATATACTGATCAGTGCAAACATTTTATTACTTGTAAAAGAAATTATACTTTTCAGGTTTTAGGCGATCATGGTTCTTGTTTTTTTTCGTAGCTCTTAGCAATACTATTTTTCATTTATAATACCTTTTTTTCTTTGTAGTACTTGTTCTTCTATCCATTTGCATAAATTTGTCAAGCATGTTATTTGCTGCTTTCCTTTACTTGTTTTACCTGTAATGCAAGTGTTAAATTCT